CGAGTATCGAGTACTCTATAAGCACACATGCGCATATAATGTCAGTACCACATACCCAATTTTTGCACACCATTTACATTTCACAAATTAATTACACGTCGCCTGGTCCTTGGCGGCATTGGGAGCGAAGTGCTTCCACACGTCGGAGCGCGGAGATCTCTGAAACGGAGAATCCGTAAATGCCTCAATACAGACATCTACCCTGTGTATCACTAGTCATTAGCCCATCATAGTATACTAGTAAGCCACACTGACTGGGGGGGGGGGGGGGAGGAATTACAAATGTTTTAATTGCAGCTCATGCTCCTGAAATACGGTACTCATCAATGTGACGACTACATTGCATTGCGTATTGTATGCATCAGGTGGTCAGGCTGCAGGTCTTGTCCTTTTTCTCCGCTTTCGTCATTCCATGCACAATCATGCCCGTGCTGTTTTCTCAGAGAACGGTCGCTCGTTCTCGGAGAATGCACCGCGGAAACCCCTTGAAACGACCCTGGAAATCCCCTGAAACTATGTGTATATATGTTATTGCAACTGACCACATACATAGTGACCATGTATAGTGGTCTCTGAACAATTAGGCCTTATATAGAGCAATGACCATATATAGAGGATTGCTGGGCTACTGAGTCCTACATATATTTTGCCTACTAACCCTGCGAATCTCTGTGTACGTGTGCAGATTTCGTTCGACATGAGCTTAGCGCGTGGTCTCGATTACTACACCGGCCTCATCTACGAGTGCATTCTAGTCGGTAAGGAATCCGAAACACGCGCTCAAACTCACAAGATCCTTGATGTATGTACTGGTTGATTCAGGGGTGGCCTTGTGTGCTGTTCTGTCTTGCTGGTGGAGGAGAGCTGTTTTCGTCATTGTCCCAACGTCCTCACCGTGGAGAAAAGTAGACCGTGTGTATGTGTGTGTGTGTGTGTGTGTGTGTGTGTGCCAGCGGCAGAATGTCTTCCTCCCACGTTGTGTGTTGCCGCATTCTGTGGTAGACCCAGACGCAGAGCCAGCAGCTGAATGTATTTGCACTACTCACCACACCCACTGTTGGGGCTCTTGGAGAGTAAAGACTATGTTTTACGCTATCAGTCGGGAGCATACAACACTGCACATGCTTTCTTGTGGCTGTCGGAGCATGGGCCTCGCCCGGCCTACTATTCAACTAGCTGTTTCATAATGTGTGTGTATGTGTGTGTGCTTGTGTGTGCATGCGTGTGTATGCTGTGTGTGCTGTGGATAGGCGAGCAGGCTCTTCTGACAGATGTTCCAGAGCTGGACGCCGGGGTTGGCCCCAGTGCCGATGCAGCAACAGCAGCAGCTGCGCCAGCTGCTGACGCAGCGGCCACACCAGCTGCCGACGCAACAGCTGCACCAGCTGCAAGCGAGGATGCTAGCGAAGAAGGCATGCCAGGTGAGTACAGTGTACTGTTGGGTGCCGAAGAACTGGGGAGTCAGAGTCGTAGCCTACGCCGTTCTTATTTTGTCTATGGACGGTCGAGTCACCTTGTATATATCGGTATGCTGTGCTGGGTAAAGTCCCGACCTTTGTGTTCTTGGTCGCTCCGTTCTTCGGCGCCCCACATAGCAGCAGTGTACTGTAGTGTTAGTGCAAGTAGCCACACCGGTGGAGCTATGTGCCATGGGGAGCGGCTAATCTTATCTTGTTGTAAAGCCTGAAATGTTTTAAACAATTCCCGCCAAGATAGGATGTTTTCAGAACTTGGAAGCTCCATTGTCGCCTTGTCATATTTTCACTACACCTCCAACTCGCAACTCCCCAAGTCCTCAGCTACGGTACAAGGATTGTTTCCAAATATTCACCCAGGAGGGCTTCATCAGGGATATAGGACATTTGGAAACAATGGCTGTACTTGGTGTAGCCGAGGACGTTGTTGATTGTTAGCACTTGCTGCGCTGTTCGCTCGTGCTGTATGTGACTGGTTGTGTACTTGATGTATGATTTCTCATGTTGTTGTTGTTGCAGTTGGTGTGGGCTCCATTTCCGGTGGTGGTCGCTACGACAACCTTGTTGGACTGTATTCTGGCTCTCAGGTATGCCTCTGGTCTGGGTAGCATTCTGGTGCTGAGCACTACACCCCCCCCCCCCCCATACACACACACACGCATGCACACACACATGCACACACACACACACGCGCGCGCGCACACACACGCACACACCGTTGTTCCTAACTCATAAGTCCTCTCCCAGGAATTTCTTTCCTGTTTAACTAAGGCCATCATTTTGTATAGCTATGTTTCGCGTCGTCCGCACGCATACGTTTTGATTTTTTTCGGAAAAAAATAAAAAATCGAACATGCACAGTGAGTGTACGATCGTGCGAGTCATCAGTGTGGACAAGTTGCATACGGCGAAGCTGGGATTCAGAAATGGCCTCTAGCAGGCCAGCGTAGGTAAATCGTTTGTTCGGCATCTGGGAGAAATATTCTATGAGCTTACGCCAGACCGCATTGATCGCCTAAGCTGAGAAGATGCGTCGTTCCGGAGCTCTTTGCAACGCTGCTGAAGTCTGAGTACAATATTCCAGCGAAGCATAGGCACCAACGGTTGCCTCCTCTGTCCAAAGTGAATATTTACTCATGCTGATAACCCAGATGTTATGCTTCGATGTACGATTTTTCTTTCGAATGTACACCATGCACGAGCTATTGTGCTATGTACAGTGCATATAATTATACCTCTGATGAGCCTTTTTTTTTTTTTTGCAACTTTTTATTTTTTCCGCCTCTTGCATATGATTTTGGAAGTTGAACTGACGCGAAACATAGATATAAAAAATGATGGCCTAAAGCTTCTTATGCGAGCAAGTATACCTCAAACGAATGATGGGTAGTACAAATGAATCTTTAAAGTAAGAAAATGAATTGGATCCAACATAGCACATGCAAAGAAGTCAACAATTGAGGACAACACCGCAAACAGAAGTAGATATTAGACATGTTTCTCTTGTAGAGAAACCAGTAAATATTGAGGCTGAGTACTATGTGGCGTTGGTGGTGGTGCGTATGCGTGTATTTGTGTGCATGTGTGTGTGTGTGTGTGTGTGTGTGTGTGTGTGTGTGTGTGTGTGTGTGTGTGTGTGTGTGCGTGTGCATGTGTGTGTGTGTGTGCGTGTGCATGTGTGTCTATGCACGTCTGCAGGTCCCCTGCGTCGGTGTCAGTATCGGCATTGAGCGCGTCTTCTCTATCTTGGAAGCCAAGGAGCATGCCAAGCTGCAGGTTAGCAGCATCAGCCGCACTCTGTTATTATCACTCTACAGGACTTGTTATACTGTAGAGGCAGAACATTTCGTCGGTCAATAATTTCGTCCAACTCCAAAGATAAGGAGTTCTTCCGGTTGACAATTCCGTCCATAGATCATAAGAGTGTATAGAAACGCTGGACAAATCGATATTCGTCCTACATTTAATTTAGTCCAAAAGCTCCTTGGACGAAAAAGACGAAATTAAATTCCAGACGAATATTTCTGCTTATACAGTACATGATTGTGTACAACCTAGTAGTTAGTAGTAGTTTTTAAAATTTTACTAGGGGAGTCCCAGCAGGCTACTGCCTTTTTACTGGGAACCCTAGGTGAAGTTTAAGAACAGAGCAAGAGACTAAGCAAACGAAAATATGGTGGAACAAAAAAGTGATTTTACAAATGTCTCTACTCACGAGTTTCATGCTGAAAGTCAATCATCAGGAGCCCGGGGCTATAGTCGGGGTTGTGTGGTCTTATTCACTATAGGTGTTGTCCCATGACAGGTATGCAATTCTAGTGACTGTGTACGCTATAACGTTAGATTTTACTAGTTTGAGGGGAAGACACAAACGGGAAAAGTCTGAAGAAAAAATTGACTGTCACCACCAGGACTCGAACCAGGGACCCTCGCTTGTAGCTAGCGATGCTCTAACCACTGAGCTATGGCGTAGTCGTCATCCCAGCAGAGACCGTTCAACATTTTCTTCAGACTTCGTAACTCACACTTCCTATAACGTTAGAACTTAAAGGATATATGCCACCTGCCGCTGTGCAGCATCTGATGGTACTGTGGTATTCAGTAAAAAAATAAAAAAATAAAATATGCAATACACTTACATGGTACGTTTGCCACTCAAAAGTTCTTCTAGTAATCTATATGGACTCGGATGGAGAGCCAAGTATTGGTTTTTCGTTGGTGCGCATCCAAGGTGTGTTAGAGCTGTTAGCCAGTTAGTTGTAGAACGTCAGTACCGTCGGTCAGTGTCGTGCAATGTGATCGCATGAGCTGGTTGTTTAGTAACTGGTGGTGTTAGTGGACATAGTGTAACTTGTAGTTCCTTGGTCATTTTTTATTTTCTATCAAGCCATCTACTGTAAAACACGATATTTTCGGTGTAACTTTAATTTCGGTGATTTCGGCAGAGAAAACAAGCACCTAAATTTAGATTGCACCTAAAAGGCACCAGAGTATATGCACTGTATGTGCAGGGAATGCTGGTCACCTAATTCTAAATTACACCTGAAACCTGGCAGGTCCCTGACACCGAAATTTTAATCCACCTAAAATTACATGTTTTACAGTATATGGGATCTCTTTTAAAATAACTTTTATACGCACTTAAGCCATAAATGGGCATCTTGCCACTCGGCTAGCCCCCGTATATAAGGCGGATTTGACGTCGTTTAGAGATTAATTTTCGCTATTTCAGCGACCATCACACATTCGCGAATATAAATCACCGCAAACTGCTCTATACATTGATCGTATGCAGTAAGGTCCAGCTGAAAAGGTACAATCGCGAAAGCTTCTCCTCGTGAATCAGCCCAATTCATGAAAATGCGAAATGTGTGCGCCGCGAAAGTTTATCGCTTTACAGTATTCCTTATTTTGGCGTGCGCAATGGGCGTACTCTTGGTTCTGCTGTGACCGCTCGCCATGATCATTTCCTATTGCCGTCTGGCATTGCAGGCGGAAAGCTTGGTCTAACTCCGTACAGTTCTAAAGACCACCTGGTTTTAACGACCGCTTTTGCTTGCACCGTGGGGTGGTCGACTGAACCTCTCAGTCTGGCCATTGGTCTGTGGGTGGTAGGCACTAGTTAGCCTGCGTTCCACGCCACACAGCTGATGTAGGTGACCGAGCGTGTAGAGTTCACAAACTCTGAACCCCGATCACTCAGCTGCACCTTGCAGCAGCCATGGCGGCAAAAGAGGCGGTACAAAAACTCCGCACCGCCACGGGCTGTCTTATCTGGAAGAGCACCAGCTTCCGGCCACTTGGAGAAGGCATCAGTCACCGAGATGATATACTTGTTGCCTCTCGAGGTCTCTTGGAGTGGACCAATAAGATCCACACCGATGCGAGATCACACTTCAGGTTCAACTGGAATGGGTCGAAGAATGGACGTCTTCTTCAATGTCCTGTCCAATTTTTGGCAGACGAGACACTCACGGACATAATTGTCCACATCTGAGCCAATACCGCTCCAATAGTTTCTCTCACAGACCTTCCTCCTCGTCTTATCACGGCCAAGGTGACCAGACATATCATGCAAGTGGCATGCATGCAAGATCTCCTTTTGTTGGCCGTCGTCTGTGATCCATTGTCGTAGGCCTTCATCAGTTTGGCGAAAAAGGACCCCACGATCCAAGACGAAGTTGACTGCAAAGCGTTTTATTGCTTTACGCCTCTCCAATAGTACCTCTCACAGACCTTCCTCCTCGTCTTATCACGGCCAAGGTGACCAGACATATCATGCGAGTGGCATGCATGCAAGATCTCCTTTTGTTGGCCGTCGTCTGTGATCCATTGTCGTAGGCCTTCATCAGTTTGGCGAAAAAGGACCCCACGATCCAAGACAAAGTTGACTGCAAAGTGTTGTATTGCTTTGCGCCTCTCCAATAGTACCTCTCACAGACCTTCCTCCTCGTCTTATCACGGCCAAGGTGACCAGACGTATCATGCGAGTGGCATGCATGAAAGATCTCCTTTTGTTGGCCGTCGTCTGTGATCCATTGTCGTAGGCCTTCATCAGTTTGGCGAAAAAGGACCCCACGATCCAAGACGAAGTTGACTGCAAAGCGTTTTATTGCTTTACGCCTCTCCAATAGTACCTCTCACAGACCTTCCTCCTCGTCTTATCACGGCCAAGGTGACCAGACATATCATGCGAGTGGCATGCATGCAAGATCTCCTTTTGTTGGCCGTCGTCTGTGATCCATTGTCGTAGGCCTTCATCAGTTTGGCGAAAAAGGACCCCACGATCCAAGACAAAGTTGACTGCAAAGTGTTGTATTGCTTTGCGCCTCTCCAATAGTACCTCTCACAGACCTTCCTCCTCGTCTTATCACGGCCAAGGTGACCAGACGTATCATGCGAGTGGCATGCATGAAAGATCTCCTTTTGTTGGCCGTCGTCTGTGATCCATTGTCGTAGGCCTTCATCAGTTTGGCGAAAAAGGACCCCACGATCCAAGACGAAGTTGACTGCAAAGCGTTTTATTGCTTTACGCCTCTCCAATAGTACCTCTCACAGACCTTCCTCCTCGTCTTATCACGGCCAAGGTGACCAGACGTATCATGCGAGTGGCATGCATGCAAGATCTCCTTTTGTTGGCCGTCGTCTGTGATCCATTGTCGTAGGCCTTCATCAGTTTGGCGAAAAAGGACCCCACGATCCAAGACGAAGTTGACTGCAAAGCGTTTTATTGCTTCCCGCCTCTCCAATAGTACCTCTCACAGACCTTCCTCCTTGTCTTATCACGACCAAGGTGACCAGACATATCATGCGAGTGGCATGCATGCAAGATCTCCTTTTGTTGGCCGTCGTCTGTGATCCATCGTCGTAGGCCTTCATCAGTTTGGCGAAAAAGGACCCCACGATCCAAGACGAAGTTGACTGCAAAGCGGTTTATTGCTTTCCGCCTCTCCAATAGTACCTCTCACAGACCTTCCTCCTTGTCTTATCACGGCCAAGGTGACCAGACATATCATGCGAGTGGCATGCATGCAAGATCTCCTTTTGTTGGCCGTCGTCTGTGATCCATTGTCGTAGGCCTTCATCAGTTTGGCGAAAAAGGACCCCACGATCCAAGACGAAGTTGACTGCAAAGCGTTTTATTGCTTTCCGCCTCTCCAATAGTACCTCTCACAGACCTTCCTCCTTGTCTTATCACGGCCAAAGTGACCAGACATATCATGCGAGTGGCATGCATGCAATATCTCCTTTTGTTGGCCGTCGTCTGTGATCCGTTGTCGTAGGCCTTCATCAGTTTGGCGAAAAAGGACCCCACGATCCAAGACGAAGTTGACTGCAAAGCGTTTTATTGCTTTACACCTCTTCGTGTCCGCAGGAAACGAGGCAGGCGTTTGCAACGCTTGCAAGACTTCGTCATAACACACCCGAGTACCACCAAGAGAAGCCTCTTCGCGTTCGCAGGAAACGAGGCAGGCGTTTGCAACGCTTGCAAGACTTCGTCATAACACACCCGAGTACCACCAAGAAAAAGACATCTTCAGGATGTTTTGAAGAAAAAAACACCGAAAGCACAACTCACGATAGAACTCGAACTCTGGAAAAGAGGAATGGATCGGAGCCAATACTTTCCAGGTTGGGTGCAGGCACTCAACCACGGGAGATCGCCAGTTCCTTGGGCATGCCCAAGTCTGGTTTGTCAGGTGGAAGTGTATTGCTTCCACCAAGCTCCTCGAGTGGGCAGGCCTGCTCGAGTGATGCTGATTTGAACGACACCACGAGTGGGCAGGTACCCTCGTGTGTGGACGTGAGCACGGACGACCCGGAGCATGCTCCGGTGTCCTCAGATATAAAACAGTTCCTTCAGACTCGCTTCAGGAAGCCCTTGAAGGGCAAGGAGCACAGGGACCTAGTAGAGCAGTTTTCCCGACCAGAGGTGGACACACCTAAGCTAGACCATGAGGTCCTGAATTTACCTGGTGTAAGGCAGTCATTCAAGAGGTCGCGGGACGACACGTTGTACTCCCTACAGAGCAGCGTATTGGATTGTTTGGGTCCTCTCTCTGCCCTGATGATGGAGGCCAAGGCAGCGCAGGACGCTGGTGCAGGTCTGGACCTGCAAGCTGTATTGGGCATGGCGCCGGCTGGCTTGTCTCTGCTGGGCAATGCCAACAGTAACCTCTCGGTGCTGAGGCGCCAGGAGTTCCTAGAACACCTTGATAAGAGCCTGGTACCCATGGCGGAAGAGCCATTTGATAAAGCGGGCACGGCCCTATTCGGCCCAGAACTATTTGAGTGCATCCAGTCCAAGGCAGAGTCTCAGGAGGCGCTGGGCTTGGTTGTAAAACAATACAAGGACGCTCGAGCTCCTCCGCAGTCGAGCGACAGCAAGTCTGGCTCTGGAGGGGCGGCAGCGGGTGAACGCCAGTTTTTTTCGAGGTACTGGGGTCAGCAGGTACGGCGGTGGCTCCCGGTACGAGCCTTACACCAGCCCGTACAACCAGACTCGATATAGCCGAGCCAGTCGTGGCTATGCTAACCGAAGCCGGATGCTTCTCCCGTCAGAGCAACAGGACGGTCAAGGACCGGACACCAGCTACGCAGCATAGCTGGGACGTTCCTGGCAGTGTGGATGTTAGTGCCAGAGGAGGTCTGGACTGGCGGATGCTGCTCGCCGTATCGGCTCTCAAGACTGGGCTTTGCCTCTCTAGCAAGTGTGTTTCGCACCTTTTCTAGTACCGGAGCTCTGCTCGGTACAACATGTGTTGGCGTAGGTTTCGTGCTCCGCATCGTGGCGTACGGCGGACAGCACGTAGCCGTCCCTCTTAGGGTCATTCCGGGGGGGGGGGGGCTGGCATCAGCAGCCACTTACTGTGCAGCCGTTCTCAGCTCCGGGGTTTAGGCTATAGCCGGACCTGCTGCTATCAGGACACTTAGGTGCCTGTTCCGTGACTCTATTGTTATCCATACGTGGGAATGAATATGTTTCTCCGACGTGTGTTTTATGTGTCTTGTGCGCTTTGAAGTATACACTGTTATATCGAAGCTTGAAGCTCCGATGCGCAATTTCCCCTTTCGCTAGCAATGGTACATTGTGACTTGTGACGGGAAGTGGGAGTTGTGCTAGGAGCTGAGAGCGAGATATAACAGTGTCCCACCCGCCCTCCCATTACGTGTTGGTGGATATTTTGGGAATGATTCATTTTTTCCTGTCACATATGCGTAGTCTCGCTTCACTAAAAAAAGGCAACTGTAGTGATGTGGTTTTATTTTTCCATGCTGTGAAGTTCCAGTTGGATATTTATGACGTCACAGAGCAACTGTTCACTACATGGGGCAGTGGTCTACCAGAGCAATCACACTGATATTTTATTATTTTTTCATTTTGCTGCAGGAGGCCAAGGCGAAGGGCGAGCGCTACATCATCCGCAAGCGCGAGACCGAGGTGTACGTGGCGTCGGCCGAGAAGAACATGACCGGCGAGCGCACCAAGCTCTGCTGCACGCTCTGGGACGCCGGCATCAAGGCCGAGCTGGCCTATAGGAAGAACCCGAGGATGCTCGACCAGATGCAGTACTGCGAGGCCGAAGGCATTCCGCTGGCTCTGATCATCGGCTCACGGGAGCTGGAAAACGACGAGGTGTCGCTCAGAGTGGTCGACACGCGCGAGCAGGTATGTGTTGAATGAGACCCGGTGGGTGTGACCCCCGCACCTCACCCATCCAAGAGTGTACATGCCTTTGGCAGTGTGCAGTTCAGCACTGAATGTATGCTTTGTTGTGTGAAGTTAACGTGTACTCTGCTGCGGGCAGAACCTGAGGTGAAACAGTTACATGAGCTGCAATCATGGACTCTTGGTGAAGGCCCTGAACCACTGGTCTGAAGGTCGTGCATTGCTTGTCACTGGCATCGTGGACAGGGTTGCCTTAACTGGCAGCGTGTGTATGTGTGTGTGTGTGTGTGTGCGTGCATACGTGCGTGTAATGAATTAGTTTTCCAGGGTTGTGGGTTTTTTCTATACAGTAGAGTGTCGATTATCCGCACCCCTCGGGGCGCGGGCTGTCTCCAGGGGATTCGAATGAGAAGATTGTTCGGATAAGGGAGCAGTCACACATCTATCTTAAAACCTGCATATTTAATACCACATGTTTTCATTTGTCTTTCTCTTAGGCAGTAGAAGAGGAACTAGGCGCACTCCAGCTCCTCAAAATGGCACTATCGTTATACATTTTGACTCCAACCTGTTGTAATACATTTTGTGCATCGCTTGAATGGTGCTCTGCGCAGGGAAAATCAGCAAAAACTAATTTTTCTACCCCTCAATTCAATGCAAGCGAGCATTTCGGATAATTGATCGTTCGGACAATCGGCATTCTACTATTCACGTGCATGGCAAGCTACTCGTACAGCAGCACCACTATAGCCAGGGCTGTTGGACACGGTACGGTTACTATGGTATTGACCGCACCACTATTTGCCCCAGGTACCCCGTGAATCAATAAAATACACTGATCTGGGGTCTAAATTTCCAAAATGTTCTGCTCAGCCACCACTCCCCCACGAGTAAATTGTACTTCTTCAGATGGCTGACCGTACCACACTAAAAATACCGTCCGACGCCCCTGATAGCGGATGCGAGCCATTCTGGACATGTGCATGTGCTGTGTCTTCTCCTATCCACCCGTGCCCACTGTGCAGATTGCTGTGAAGCGTGGCGACCTACTGGACGAAGTGCGCAAACAGCTGGCCAGGCTGTGAACATGGTGCAACACATGTCCCACCAACTCCACCGCCACCATCACCAGTGTTGAGGAATCTGAAGTACGGCGCTCACACTATACCGTCAATATTTCTCTATAATTTTTGGCACGTTTTCCACTGGTTATGGTCGTGACTAACAAAATACATGCAGGCGAATATTTATTGCCCGTGCCAAAAACGCCAGCAGGATTCATAAAATATTAGAAACATTTTCTTACCATCATGCAGCACATGTAGGTCGATGTTGTGTAGTTGAAAGAGAATTGCCGTGTGGAATACTGTGGTGACATTGTGTGTCTAGTTTGGGCTGGAAGAAGGTGCCGTTGCGGCGGGTTGTTTTCCGGTCCGCGGGGAGCGGCTGTGTATGTGTCCGACTATCGGTCTTGCGGAGTGCAAACATTTGGGAAACGAGGGGGGGGGCATTGTGAGGTATGTGTGTGAAGCTCTGAGCTTCTTTTAGTCTAAAGGGATGTCACCTCCACAACAATTATGCTGTTGTTGGTGGTGCTGCTGTTGTTGTTGTTTCAAATCTTTATTCTCACGATAGCCAGTGGCCAATAAGAGATAACAGTGTAAGAAAGGAGAAAGAGTGAGGAAGAATTGGGTGGGCAGGGCGTAGGGGTTAATGACTACTTAAGTGTACGGGCAGGGGTGGTCGCTACACGAGCATACAGAGTTGTGCAACAGCCGGGATATCTGGGATTTGAAGGGAGTACGAGAAGGGATTTCGCGAAGCTGGGTGGGCAAGCAATTAAAGTAATGAAGGGCCTTGTACAGGGGAGAATGGAGACAGCGGTCAGTCCGCAGAGTTGGCAAGTGCCAAGTACGAGAGCGACGTAAGTTATACGAAGGTTGCAGGTTGCTAGCAGTATGCATCGAGAGTATGTGGAGGGGCATAATTGTGGCGCAGAGAATGCGCGAAGAGTATAATTATGTTATTAAAGCGTGAAAATAATGTTGGCCATTTGATGCGATGCAAAAGGTGGGAGTGTTCTAAGTGTGTGTAATGGGGAAGGTGGAGACATATTCTGGCGGCTTTCCGCTGGAGTCGTTCGTTGTTGTTGTTTACAAATCAATGAATTTTTCCATACACATGCTCGGGCCGGGCGGGCCGGAAAGTGATTCCCAGATCCTAGTTGGTCTTGTACTCGTACTTGTAGCAAGAGAAAAATTTAATAAATGATAATCACCATGGTAGAAGCCAATCACGATGCATTTAGCAGGGCACGCGTGTGTGTTCTCGGCCCTGAGAAGCGCTTGGCGAGCAGATATCCGTGATATCTACCCTCCAGGCCAGGGAGTTGTAAATGGTATTTTACTAGGGCTGAAACGATCTTGGATTTTCACGTATCTATTACTCTTTAGCTTAACGATCGAGTAATCGACTATGATCGTTAGCAAATAGAGTCATAATTCTGTGCAAACATTACTTTGTGTTCCACAAACTATGCCTTCATAATACCAACAAATCTGCATTAGTGAAAGGGTAGCTCCGAAACATGGCAGTTTTGAAGTCAATTTAACCTCAGAACATGAACCATACCCCTGGCAACTGCATACTCCCAACGGAAACTGATTCAAACTCCACAAAAAGGGAACCCCAGCGACCCAAGCATCCAAGCATCAACAGCACTCCAGAAAGCAGACTTACTTGCTCGGCATTTTGCCACACAGTGTACCGCACCAACATCAGCCAACAGCACCGCAGCAACTTTTGCTAACCCTGTAGCCCAACCATTAGTCTGTTTTACTTGTAAGTTACCCAGATTTACCCCGGGACAAGTTTACCATGACCTTGTCCATCTTTCGTCCCGGAAGGCGACTTCAGCCAACTATTTAGTCTCGATATTTAAAGGGGCACTCCGGCTTCATTTTCGACGCCGAGTTTTCGATGCCAAGACGAAGGTAGGTGAAAGAGAAGACCCCTCGAACAAGAACGAGTCTCCAGAAGCGATCGAGTCGAGCAGGAAGACGACTTTTGAATTTCGCCGAGTGAGCGCTGATGACGTAATGAGGGATTAGCTTGCCAGTGGAAATGCATCTGCGCACATACATTTCACATACTTTTTGGCCAATTTTCAATCGAAGAGGAGGTTGTTTTCTATGTTCTCTCAACGTCGTGAGCGATCCCGTCTTCTATACCCTTCCAGGTACCCTGAAGGTCCTCCAGAGGAGAATTTATCTCCAGCGAAGCGTTGTTGATCCGCTAAATTCGTCTCGAAACATATTCACCCAGTGCAGTGCTGATAAATGTAGAATGTTGAATCTGTGATAATTGTTGACGATGGAGAGAGAGGCTGATAGCCGCTGTCGCAGGGAAAGTGAAGCTGCTGGAAGTCACGACGGGGAGCCCGTTTGTATCACCTGAACAACCAGACTTCAAAGCAGCTTGACCAAATCGGAGGGTGCCTCGTTGCTTATCGTCAATATTACACCGACATGAATTACTACAAGTACACTGGTGAGTTTTTATCTTGTTTTGTTCGTATGCTAGTACCCTGGCCTGGAGTTCTCGTTAGCAAATTCCTATTCCCTGGCGTTTTCTAAACATTCCGTGTAGTACTGAATACGTGATCAAGTATTCCGACTTGGGTAGATGTGGAATTTGGACATGTATTTTTTAAAAAAATTCTATTTTCCCAATAGAGCGTTTGTAGTGAAATGGTTGCCCAAATACAACGAAATTGATTCTGCAGTTCTACAACTTGTACTGAAATCCAGTCAAAGTAAAAATGATTCTTCATGACAGTTGGGGTCAATGAAATCTGATCCAGGCATAACGAATAGTGACGCCTGCCACCCCGAGAACGAATGCCCATTTGGTGGGGGATACCAAAGTACTCGAAAGTGGTGCGTGTTTCAATGTGGCATGGAAGTTTTATAATAATATGATCTCTGGTCAATGCAGCATACGATAGCCATCATGAATTGCAGGCCTCGAATGCAACTCAGACCAGAATTGGCAGTTCCCTAAGTTTATAATTCCATGGCCCCAGCTGTGGTTATAGAAGTTTGTTTGCACATTATTCTTATAGTCGATAGGTTTATACTGATGGCCACAAACAACGGCAGTTCAAACTTCACTGACGTGTTCATGAGCTTAGAGATTTCCCTCCACTATTTCTGTTGTGCATACAGGTCTGTCCAATATGCATTGACGGTATTGGGTATGGTATCTGCTCTGAGAAGGGAATCGCTGGAGCCACAGTCCAATTATACAGGCTTTCAAGAAACAGAGAGGAGCCATCTTTCCAAGCTGATACCTGATGTGTACCGACGGAATTCTCACGAGATACCTTACGGACTACTTGTGGTGTGTACTTCATAGTACTCCTTCGACTACTATCTAGAATCAAGTCGACTGAAACAAGTTCGAACAACTCTGGCTTCAAACGAGCCGTCGATTAGACAAACAAAACATTCTCTCATATACTGGAGCACTCTGACAACTCACGACCTATTCCTAACGATTGCCACCGCTTATAAAATATGTAGAGTGCTGATTGGAATGTGCTCACAATCTCAACAATTCAGTGCTATAATTATTTGAACAATGTGTTAGAAATGATTCCACTTTTCCTTCCATAAATGTTGTATCCACAGTGCTCCAAAGTTTCTTTGCTCTCTAGCCGCCTGCGAATCCAACAGTGAAATTGTTAGTTCATATTTATAATGTGGGTATGTGGGAGGGGGTTGAACATATTTTTATATAAGGGACCTGCAACTGTAATACCACAGTACAGTAGCCGGCAAATATGTAGAAAACAGAAATGCATGTTCCCATCATTGTACATGGACGGGCGCAGCAGGCCGAAGCTATCAGCCAGAACAGGATTTACAATCACTTAGAGATACTGGAGCTATTCCAGTATTCTCCGTGAGCTGTCCCATTCCACAATGGTTCATGCCACCATTATTTCTGGTAGTATCCATGTGCATAGTTCCAAGACCATCTCGGATTCTTCAGCAATTTGTGCCACGGCAAAAGACAATGCTTGACTCGGTCACTGGGGCAGTCAAACTTCCCATCACAAATGAACTTCAATTTCCCATCTGTTTCAAGTATATGTACTGCCATGACTTGACCATGCTTCATCCACAGCTGGGCGAAAATTGTGGCATCGAATTCCATAGCGCACCTTCTTGTTGCCATGCAGGAGTATGTTGAGAGAAGTGAACATATTTTTACTAAAAAGCAACAGCCACTGAAGAGGATAGCAATAGCCTTGGGTGAATTTCCTGCAGGTACACGTTGTTGGTAGGTCTACTGGTCGGTCTCCATATCGTCAAGTTCAGAAATCACCTGTACTACACATCTTGTAGAAGGGATCCTGATCGAATAATTTTCTGGTCATAAAATTCACTAAACTTGAGGGCGAGACAAATAGTCAGTACTCCCCGATTCCGTCAAGGTGCTTTGAAGTCTGGATGCACATGTGATGCTAACAAGCTCCCCGTCGTGACTTCCAGCAGCTTCACTTTCCCTGCGACAGCGGCTATCAACCTCTCTCTCCATCGTCGACAATTATCACAGATTCAACATTCTACATTTATCAGCACTGCACTGGGTGAATATGTTTCGAGACGAATTTAGCGGATCAACAACGCTTCGCTGGAGATAAATTCTCCTCTGGAGGACCTTCAGGGTACCTGGAAGGGTATAGAAGACGGGATCGCTCACGACGTTGAGAGAACATAGAAAACAACCTCCTCTTCGATTGAAAATTGGCCAAAAAGTATGTGAAATGTATGTGCGCAGATGCATTTCCACTGGCAAGCTAATCCCTCATTACGTCATCAGCGCTCGCTCGGCGAAATTCAAAAAGTCGTCTTCCTGCTCGACTCGATCGCTTCTGGAGACTCGTTCTTGTTCGAGGGGTCTTCTCTTTCACCTACCTTCGTCTTGGCATCGAAAACTCGGCGTCGAAAATGAAGCCGGAGTGCCCCTTTAAGAGCATGCCGGACTTACTGTGCGAGTCGCTTTCATACCTATTCAACAAGAGTCTGTCAATGTCTTCCTTCCCATCAGCTTGGAAATCTGCTACTGTAAAACCCATGTATAAACGTAGAGGTAGTGCCCACCTACCTACCAACTATCGACCCATCTCCCTTCTTCACCCCATTAGCCGCATCTTTGAACATCGTATCGCCTTATGCCTAAGTAATTTTCTAGCCCAAAACAACATCTTATCTACATGCCAGTTCGCATACGTTCCCGAAAGATCTGCCACTGACCAACTACTTCTCCTAACTCATCAGATGGCACGCGTCGCAGATAAAAACATGAAGTTTGATTGTGTATTCTTGGACTTCACCAAGGCGTTTGATAAAATCCACCACGCTAGCCTGATCAGCAATCTGAGCGATTTCGTGGAACAGGAAGCAATTCCCTGGTTTGAGAGCTATCTATGCAACAGAAGCCTATCAGTACGCCTAGAGGACGCAGTATCTGAACTCTATGAGTTGTCCTGTGGAGTCCCTCAAGGGTCCCTTCTAGCACCCCTTCTCTTCCTTATATATATATCAACTCTCTCCCTAAAATTGTAAAGCATACTTCCCCCTATCTGTTTGCAGATGATGTCACCCTCCTCAACGTTCACACACGTACTGATTCCCTGGCTGGTAACTTAGCCAACGTCCAAGCCGATTTAGCGAGCTGCCAACAGTGGGCAAGAAACGTCCACGGAACGTCCTCTGCAGACAAGACAAGTATAATGTCCAATTACGACCTTCCTCCTGGACACTCTGTGCAGATGGACAATGTAGACTTAAACTTCAAGCAGGATTGTAAACATTTAGGAGTGCAGCTCAGCAGTAATCTTAAGTTCGATAATCATTTCAATACCATATCCAAGAAATTTCAGCAAAGAGTAAATCTATTGTGCTATATGGGTCGCTATCTACCTTACCCCAACATTGCCTTGCTCTACAAATCATATGTACGCCCCACAATAGAATATGCCACCCCAATCTGGAGCCTCACCCTAACTACTGCACAGCTAGCTATGTTTGATGTCCTGCAGGCTAAGGTGTGTAGACGGTTACTAAGATCAGCCAAGATAGAATTTGACAGATATGAATCAAAAGATAGTTTAAATAGTATGTGTAACTTAGAATCCCTCCATTTCAGACGTACCCTCATCGCTATTACAATTCTTTTCAAATACATCCACTTTCAACCTCATATCTTAAATCTTTTTGATATCAATATTTCTCGTAGTGAACGCAGACCGAACAAGCTTGTTTTCAACTCTCATGGGAAACTTTCATCTTCCATTTTCTTACATAAAATCCGCAAATTATGGAATTGCCTTCCACCCAAGATTACCGCTTTAGATTCTGTTTCAGAATTTCGGACACAATTTCGCGCTCATTATAAACGGCATATATTTGCCTGCACAAGTCGCTTCACTAGTATATAAATCAATGATCATTTTCACTGTTAGGAGATCCCCCCGATATAGGCTATGCCTTTGGGAAATCCCGAATATATAAATATTAAAAACGAGGGTTTACACTGAGTACTTTCTGGACACAACCATACCCCTGGCAACTGCATACTCAGCGAAAACTCATTCAAACTTCAGAAAAAAAAAACAGGAGTCACTCTTTCAGTACCTTTTGGACTCAAATCTCTAACGAGTCATCGTTTCAGCTGCAACCAAAACATTCGTAGAGTCTACTCAGTGATCGGCGCCAGGCGCGACCAGCCAAGCTTCGCTCGCCGGTATGGCCTTCGTAGATGATTGATTCCGTCTTGTAGACTGAAACTGGTCTTGAAAGTAGTTGTAGTGACAGTACAGACTGGCAGACAGTAGTTGTAGAGTTCGCGATCCTGCAACGGGCCAGTCCAAGGCGAGCAGTTGGCCGTTTTACTGGTTTGTTTAGTTCAGGTGGAGCGGGTGAAAGTTTCTGTTTGTTGTCTGTCATATTCAATGGCATAAGTACAGCTGCAGTGGTGTCTTCAACTTCATTGTCTGTCAACAAGTCACGGAAATCATTACAATGATGAACGCAATTATTATTTCAGTACTATCTCTTCAGAGCTCCATTTGTCTAGAAACTCGAGGCGCTTCCTCCTTTGCGGCAGCGAAGCTTGAGTATATCAGATGCGCAAGAAGACGTTGATCAGCCATTCGAGCGTCTTCTATCGAGTCCGGCTTTATTTTTGCGCACTCTCCACCGCTTGAGTCCGTTGCAGCGATTGCACAAGCAAGTATTAGTTCTCCGAGGCTCTAAATTTCCAAAAGTTTCGGGTCAGCAACCCCTCCCCCACGAGTAAATTGTACCTCAGATGGCTGACCGTACCACATTAAAATACCTTCCGACGCCCCTGGTTCTTCTCGAAGAAGGAAGCATGAGCAAGGAAAGTTTCCCAACCACACTAGCTGGATTCGGCCTCGAGTTCAGTCCCGACGGCGGACGGCTCCTGGATCGCGACGGCGAAGCGTTCGTCTTCGATGAGCGCCCTGGCGACAAAGCGTACAATCAGGCGCGCTACGAGGCGCTGGGAAGATGCGTAACGGAGCACATCTACTCGCTCATGGTGGCCCAGTGTGGCATGCAACGGGCAATTGTGCCCATCGATTCGGTCAGGGAGGGCGACCCAACGACCTGCCTGTTTCACACCCGTGATCTGCTCTCGAACGAGTTCAAACTGATGGTTCTGATCCAGGGCTCTGGGGCCGTGAGAGCAGGCCAGTGGGCACGGAGCCTCATCATCAACGACAGCTTGGAGTCCGGCAGTCAAATACCGTTCATCCAGCAAGCCCAGGAGCACAACTATGCAGTGATCGTCCTGAATCCGAATGATAACTACGGACTGGACCTTTCCGGCAAGCGGGTTCCCATCGAGGGAAGCGAGACACCCGAAGCGCACACCGAGTATGCGTTTGACCACTTTGTGAAGCGCTCGCCGGCCAGAGTCGTGAACATCGTGGGCCACAGCTATGGCGGGCACATCGTCAACGCGCTGGCGAAGAAGTCGGCCGTTTTCCGCGAGCGTGTGACGCAGATCGCACTGACCGACTCCACCGGATCGCTGCGCGGCTGTGACGAAGCGACCCAGAGTTGGCTGAGCGAGCGCACCGTCAACTGGGCATCATCGGCGGAGAGCATCGGCACAGCCATCAAAGAAGCCTCCGGAACGCAGGTGAGATCCGTGTCCGCTGGCGTAGCGGTTCACGAGCGAACCTCCTCAGCTGCCATGGACTCCATCTTTGCTCACTTTGCCGAAGAAGGAAGCATGAGCAAGGAAAGTTTCCCAACCACACTAGCTGGATTCGGCCTCGAGTTCAGTCCCGACGGCGGACGGCTCCTGGATCGCGACGGCGAAGCGTTCGTCTTCGATGAGCGCCCTGGCGACAAAGCGTACAATCAGGCGCGCTACGAGGCGCTGGGAAGATGCGTAACGGAGCACATCTACTCGCTCATGGTGGCCCAGTGTGGCATGCAACGGGCAATTGTGCCCATCGATTCGGTCAGGGAGGGCGACCCAACGACCTGCCTGTTTCACACCCGTGATCTGCTCTCGAACGAGTTCAAACTGATGGTTCTGATCCAGGGCTCTGGGGCCGTGAGAGCAGGCCAGTGGGCACGGAGCCTCATCATCAACGACAGCTTGGAGTCCGGCAGTCAAATACCGTTCATCCAGCAAGCCCAGGAGCACAACTATGCAGTGATCGTCCTGAATCCGAATGATAACTACGGACTGGACCTTTCCGGCAAGCGGGTTCCCATCGAGGGAAGCGAGACACCCGAAGCGCACACCGAGTATGCGTTTGACCACTTTGTGAAGCGCTCGCCGGCCAGAGTCGTGAACATCGTGGGCCACAGCTATGGCGGGCACATCGTCAACGCGCTGGCGCAGAAGTCGGCCGTTTTCCGCGAGCGCGTGACGCAGATCGCACTGACCGACTCTACCGGATCGCTGCGCGGCTGTGACGAAGCGACCCAGAGTTGGCTGAGCGAGCACACCGTCAACTGGGCATCATCGGAGGAGAGCATCGGCACAGCCATCCAAGAAGCCTCCGGCACGCAGGTGAGATCCGTGTCCGCTGGCGTAGCGGTTCACGAGCGAACCACCTCAGCTGCCATGGACTCCATCTTTGCTCACTTTGCCGATACCGGTAATCATACTAGTGAGTAGTACTGGTTCACCCTGCATGATCGATGGCCAGGTCAAGGAATGAATCCAGTGCATGTAACTCTGAGTCTGAGTTGATGAATTGATGATGCAGAAATCACCCGAGGACTGATAGTTATCTGCTACAATTTTTATTAGTACAATAGTCATGTAGCTTGTGCACATCTACTTGTGAAGTACTTGTCCTATAGATCATTCTCATCTAACTTTTATTCTTGCTCTCCATGCTCAGCCTTTTTATATGCACACATATTGTTTCTAGTGAAAACTTTCGAGATGTTGTTCAAGAGCCCGCTGAATTGACGTGTGTCCTTCTTCTCAGTATCATTGTTGATTTTGATTCTGGGAGCTTATTTTCTCTTGATGTTACTCGTACAGTAACCATGGTAACACCCTGGGACAGTGTCTGTAGGAGGATAGGAGGATAGCCATGGCATTAGTCATAATACACAGGGCCAGGGGTGGCATGTTGCACTTGATCCTGCACTCCGAACAGGCTCGGTACAGTTTGCAACGTGCCTTGAGACTTGCGCTATGCCCATGGATGTGGAGGGGCCAGGTTTCCGGACAACCTCAAAATACACATGCCTGAAACTCCTATACGGGGCCCTAGGGTTGAAATTTGTGGAATCCCTAATAATATAAGTAATTTTAGAGATCGCCGCTACCACGCTCCTACAGCTACAGAGCTAGAGGGGCTATGCTCCCACCGCCCCTACTGAGGATGGCCTAAACCTCAAACTTTGGAACCCCTGTATACCCGCCCACCTATGCAATTGGACTATTCAGCACTCTGAGTTTGGCTAGCCATGCAGATGATTCATCTTGGTAATGAGAGGAGTTACAACAGAGAGGTTCCAGGCTGTCCAATAGAGTGCTCAATACCGAAACAAAGGCAGAGCTAGTTCAAACAATAATAAGAGGATGAAAAAAGTGTTTTTACTCCGTTTTACTCTTATCTGTTTTTACTCTGTTTTCTGAGGATCGCTAAAATTAAAATAATAATACGCGGCTTAGTGCGTGAAACTCGGAGTAAAAACACGTTTTCATCCTCTTAATATTGTTCAATGTGAGGACGGTTATACAGTAGGTTTAGTCCTCTGCTCACAAAGTGCTCGATGCACAAAGGACAGAGCTTCCTTACAAACAAGCCACACACGGGAACAAAGTTTTGCTGCTGCAACTCCGAGTATTGCATGGCTTGATCTGTTCACTGATAATAATTATTATTATGATCTCCTTTCCTTGTACACACACTGGCATAGCTAACCGAATCCCCATGTTGCCTGATGATAGCCGATTGAGCATGAAACTCTCAGGGTTGCAACGGACCACCAGCCTTGGGTTGTGACTTGTAACCACTGGTGCAATGACTATGTGTGCCTTCGCAACATCCGAGCACTCCTGCTGTGACATCCCAATTACCTCAATGGTACACTAGTCTACCACTACTAGGGCATCCACTTGGTCTTGGCATTCTGTATCACGATTTGTGGTTTTCCCAAAAAAAAAGAGCTTTACCACTACTAACTACACAGTGTAAATATTTTTTTGTGTTTTTCTTTCTTTCTTTTTCTTGTGTTTTTCCTGTTCTTTTTGATGCTGCTGTCTTATGACACACATGACGCCCCTACGACCAGGATGGTTGTGGGTTACAGGGTTATACATACACACATACTACTACTACTAGGGCTTGGGCAGTTGTGTTCACTACAGTGGGTTGTTGGTGTTGGTGTTGGGGGCGGCTACAGGTCGAAATCACAAAACATTCTCAGAACAATAGGGGCGCGTTTGGTTGGTACGAACTAGAACAGGATTCACCAGAACAGCGCGTTTGTTTGGGACTGCACCTGTTCTGGGTCGGCCAGAACATGTTCTGCTTGCTCCGGCCTCCAGGCCGGAGCAGACCGAGCAGTTTCACTTTTTCACAGTGAAACCTGGCGGGAACATCGATTTTGGTCCCAAATGATCACGTGCATACGCTTTTGGGTTGGACTCGTTGTACCGTACAAAGTGACCATGGTGACCCATACACATTTTGAAGAATGCACCAAGTTTGGCACATTTTTCCACAAAAATGTGCTCTGTTTCTGGAGTACCGTTTGGTTGGCATGAGGCTGCTCCATGTGCACCAGCTGTTCGATCCTGTTCCAGATCGTACCAACCAAATGCACCCTAGGTCAGAAGACTTCAAGTTGAGTTTTAAATTGAAAATACAACTTGCGTCTCACTCGCACACGCTCAGCCAACTGACATTGTACGGGCCAAAGTGGGAAGAGAAATATTTACAAATAAAGTTAAAGGGCAGAAGGACCGCAATACAGAGCAGCACGGTTTCAATAATATTATTGAGGAGCAGGCATGTATTAAAGACAGCAGGCACGGGTTACATCGTCTTTAAAAGCGCATGTATGCAAAGGACACACACTAGACTAACTGATTTCGGTATTATAATATTACAACTTTACTACTTGGCAAGATGCTCAAACAGCTGTTAGGTTTAAGGGTGGTATCTGCTCTCTCTCCCCACAGTTACAACATAGTCTTAAAGCTGGAGCTGACAGGACAACAAGGGGAGATGTCCGGAGGATATCGGCATGCCCGATTCCACTTGTGGCATTCTTAGCCTAGATGCACCTCGCACCAGGCTCACATCTCACCATTCGGCACATACCAAGCATGACACAGTGGTCCCTCTACATGCCCTTTATGGTTGACGTACTCGATCGAGCATTCCCAGCACTGATAGTTCAGCCATAGGCATGCTTTAAAACTGTTTCCAATGCTTGACGTCCGGTGATTGCCGCGCAACGAGCTACTCTGCAGACGAGGCAGTAGCGGCAGCAGCATCGTCCGTCGGTCCCAGTGTGCTTGCTGCCAGGTCTTCTGTCACTTCTGCTGTGACATCAGCGGTGGCGCAGGCTGCTGCTGCTGCTGCTCCCTCCTGTGGCTCGGCATCTGCGGTCTTTTTCGACTTGTTTTTCGGAGGACCCTGCGGCTTCCGCTCCTAACCAACAATAGATAAATGTGAAGACCCCAATGCAGCATCACATAACTATTATGATGATAATACGATTGTCATGTAGTAGAGAAATGGTGGTTAAACACACACCTGGCGGAATGGCGCCATACATTGACCAGGCACCATGTGTAAACAGATGATGATGGTGAGAGAAGGAGACCCCTTTGCCAGAATTTTGCAGCTTAGAGAGCGCTGCGTGGGCAGGCGTGTATTTACTGCAATTTGCCAGGTGTGTTACAACCAGCATTGCTCTATAAACCAACAATACACGAGGCTAAGCCAACGAATACCGACCATGCCCAAGATGCGCTAACCATCCGAGCTATGGAACCAGAGCACTGCTCGCGACAAGCAATGCCCCAGGCTCGAGTCCTGGTGCAGCTGGCATCGTTTTGCTTTTCTGACAGTTTGCTTCCCCGATTGTTGCCTTGAATTTGAAGCATCTCCCATTCCCACTCCACTAATCCTAAGACCTTCATACATAATTATATTCAATAGTTGAGGGAACACATGTATCCTCTTTCCTTCTACAGTCGCACCTCGCATAACCGCACACATCCGTTTTCCATAAAAAATATCCGGATAGGCGAGGGAACCGGATAATCGAACACACATACCGTGTGTAAGCATGGCATATGCTGTAAATCGGTAACCGACGATTTTCTTCCGGATGGCGAGGGATCCGGATAAACGAGGACCGGATAAGCGAGGTCTGACTGTACCTCAACTATAATCTTGCCCCGGGCCGCGGGGATGCCTTTGAAAGGCATTGATTTCTCTAATTTCACTGCGGATACTCTAATTTCAGTGCGGATACTCTAATTTCACTGCGGATACTCTAATTTCACTGCGGATATTCTAATTTCACTGCGGATACTCTAATTTCACTGCGGATACTCTAATTTCACTGCGGATACTCTAATTTCACTGCGGATACTCTAATTTCACTGCGGATACTCTAATTTCACTGCGGATACTCTAATTTCACTGCGGATACTCTAATTTCACTGCGGATACTCTAATTTCACTGCGGATACTCTAATTTCACTGCGGATACTCTAATTTCACTGCGGATACTCTAATTTCACTGCGGATACTCTAATTTCACTGCGGATACTCTAATTTCACTGCGGATACTCTAATTTCACTGCGGATACTCTAATTTCACTGCGGATACTCTAATTTCACTGCGGATACTAGTAAACGTTCAAATAAAACAGACTGTAAAGGAAACAAAGAAGGTAGCTGCTCCCAACGTTGGAGCTTGCACTTCCTCTCAACCGACTGACACTTGACAGACTGGCGGCTGCCATCTGCAGCACACGAAAGCATTCTGAACCTTCCACTCAGCTAGCCTGCAAGAGAGCACCACTTCCTGCTCAACACAAAGTGTTTCGGGGATTGTAAGCGGCAGCCATCTTCTTCTACAACTACTGCGTGATTAATAAAAGCGTGTAACGAACCAAGCAATGTGAAGGTACTCAGATGTGCGCCCAGAGACTCAATATCCAAACAAGAAAAAGGCAGCTCTGTCCACTCCCCCCCCCCCCCTCAGCACTGGTAGTTTACAAGTGCTTGGTAACGTGTTTAATTTAAAGCCAGCTTCTGTAATAAGCCGGTGCTGACTGACCTTGGGCGGTGGAAGGCTGGGCTCAATCATCAGTGTAACCGGGCCGTCGTTTTGTATGCGCACCTGCATGTCGGCACCAAACACACCATCTGCAGACAAGCACACGTGTACACACACGTATGCATGCGCGCGCACGCGCGTGCACACACCCACCCACAGAGTTCAGGACACAGGCTAAATCCACTGCCCTTACATGTGTGCAGATGCCACGAAATACAAACAACGCTGTGCAGAAAGGCTTCTCTGCCAAGATAGCCCATTGAATAACAATTCTCTCGCACCTGCGTAAAGTATAACACAGAGTGACAATTACGATGACGACAACAGCACCACGATCCAGAAAAGGAGCAGCAGAAGCAGCAGCAAAACGACAAAGAAAATGTCTCCGTCCTCTGTAGTCCATTACTGGATTACTGGATGGTTTGAATGGATTTGAAACAGATACAGTGGTCCCTTTATAATCCACCAACATTTGTGCTACGGAAATTCTGCTGGATTAGGGAGGGTGCTGGATTAGGGAGGGTGCTGGATTAGGGAGGGTGCTGGATTAGGGAGGGTGCTGGATTAGGGAGGGTGCTGGATTGACAAAATCTGATTTACTGCGGCAATGTACATGAAAAGGACATTTTGGTTGCTCAAAATTATGCTGGTTTATAGAGGGTGCTGGTTTGTGAAGTGCTGGATTAAAGAGGGGCGACTGTACATGATATTTTGAAGTACAATCACCGGCAATGCAGATGCTGTGCAAGCAAACAGTGACAGAACCCCATCCCGACCCACGCACCTTTCACAAGTTCTGGCTTGTACGCTTTCCGCAGCTCGCTTACAAACTGTTCATAGAACACTTTGGACTTCTCGTGCGTGAGCGCGTTGTGAAAGTCAGGTTTATTCCCCTTCAGTATGCCATACAGTGTGAACTGTAGATGAAGGAGTACAAGGCACAAGAATGCTCAGGGGTTAATGCTCACCCTCAGCAACAGTACGACTCATACAATAAATACAATGTGATCAAGTAGTTTGCTCCACTGCTCAAAGAGTGCTGAACGCGCGCAGAGGGCAGAGATTTCCACACACACACACACACACACACACACACACACACACACACACACACACACACATACACACATACACACACACACACACACACACACACACACGAGAGAGAGAGAGAGAGAGAGAGAGAGAGAGAGAGAGAGAGAGAGAGAGAGAGAGAGAGAGAGAGAGAGAGAGAGAGAGAGAGAGAGAGAGAGAGAGAGAGAGAGAGAGAGAGAGAGAGAGAGAGAGAGAGAGAGAGAGAGAGAGAGAGAGAGAGAGAGAGAGAGCAAGCATAGCCCACGAGCATCATGGGACCATATGGCAAGAAGGAAACCTTGAACATTAAAGGGCTGCCTGCTAGTTTGCCAAAAATGATTCACAACTCACTCCTATTACTGTAAAAGCCGTTATTCTAACGAGGCGCATATATAACGATTTCCCAAAATTCACTAGTTTACGTGTACCAAAGGTAACGATTCTCACTCATTCTCAGCGCTCAATAGGACAGTATACGTATCGATTTCTGTATAACGATTTCTATTTTAACGACAGATTTCTCCTCGTTTACTCGTTAGAGTTAGCACTTTGTTATATATATGGCTTTTACAGTAACCAATATCAGTAGAAAAACCTTACACCAGCAGCCATTCTAATAGTGGCCAGGACTACATTACACATGTGGCTGGATAGGCTGCACGCGTGCTTGCTTCACAGTGGACACACGGGGCATTACAACGCCGCACAGAACCTCACCTGGCTGACGCAGAGAATCTCGAGGTTGAGATCCGATACGCTCTTACACCATCCGGCACCGCTCTTGTCTTCGAACAAGCGCAGATTAAGCAGCTTCCGAACCCTGTCACAGTGTGAATTGAGCAGGATAGCAAAAAGGTACACTCCAAAACCAAAGACGCTGCAGGAATTTCTAGGCACATGGATCAAGATTGTATTGGCTAGGGTTTATTCAGAAAAACCATCAAGTGAATCGTGCCACCTTTAATATTGGGAACCTGCCCAACATGAACTGAACACCAATGCTACGATATCATGGCTAGTGGTTCCGTAACCAGCAGGTTTGGCGGAGGCAGTTTTTGATTGGTTTGGCGATACCATAGTCTTTCATACATCGTGTTTGCTATGGCGAATACTAGTAGTACACAAGACCTCGTCAGCAGTGAAGAGGCGTTGGTAGTCAAAGAGTTGGTCCGGTCATGACCTGAGCAACCGCACCGGGTCCGCCGCCCCCGGACCATGCATTGCACGTGCCAGGCAACTTCACGCCAACTCACATCCACTCACGGTCCTGACGATGATCCACCTGCGTAATGCCAATCAGAACGCAGATCCCGCGTTCAATCGAGCTCACGACAACGCCATCAACTGCACACCAAGACACAGGCAGACAGGCACACAGACAGGCAGGGAGAAGAAAACACTGCCATCATTACGTAATTTGCCTGCAGCACGCCCTGCGCCCATGCACTCAAACCTGTGATCTCTCGCGATCACACAAGCAGTCCCGTTTTGCTTGATCCGTTCGGAGCAAGGCGCCATCCCTAGGTTGTGAGTGCTTGAACTCACAACTTTGAACCACAGGGAAAGGACGGCTTTTGATATATTGCACTTCACGGATGATGCTATATGATGCTATGATGAACTTAGTATTTGGTATGAAGGCACTGCGCCATGCGGCTTGCCCATAATAGAAGAGATCACAGTTCCATACTCTTGGCCATGAGCTCCTGGTACTAGTATCAGTTATCGTGCTGTCATTCCATAAAAGAAGCATAATTTACACCATCTCTTGACTGTTTCATCGGCCCATTATTCAGGATTGGGGTATGTATATGTACGCAGATTGAGTACCGTAAAGTCGCGGATAAAAGCCGGGTTTGCATACAAGCACATCGCAGATAGAAGCCTGAAAATCAAACGGGTCAAATGCACATACAGTCAACTTCGCTAATAACGACTGCGGATATAACGACAATTCGCGAATAACGACCGAATTTCCATGCCCAGAGCAAAGTCCCATCTAACTGTATACATTCAACTTCGGATATAACGACTATCTGAATAACGACAATTCGCGTATAGCGACATGCTTTTAGTGCCCCGAGATCATATTCACTGCTTGAATAACGACTTTCTGGGCTTTTGACAGCTATTTCAAGTACCTGTCAGTCAAGTACATGTACATGTACCTGTCATGAACCAGAACCTATGGTGATGGATATTATTATTAATATAAAGGCACACATGCAAGAAAATGCAGCCAAGAGGGGGGGGGGGGGCTTTTCTTCCTTTTTTATGTTGGCTTCAAAATTGTTGGATTTACCAGCACACCTATACATGTATGTTTACAATGTACAGTAGTTGTACATGATTGTACAGTAATCATCATGCATGTACATGTACATGTCTCTGGCCCTGTAGATGGCTCAAAAAGGCATATTATTTTTCAATTGATTTCCCTGAATTTCTAGTTCCTTTCAACTGCAATATGAAAATAAAGTACACATTGACATAGAGCAAGAAAAGAGCTTGATTTTGATATGCATGTCATACTATACAAAATATGGGTTCACATACATTCAAATGGGACTTCGGTTATAAGGACACTTCGCGAATAAGGACACTTCGCGAATAAGGACACTTTTCTGATGCCCCGCCGAATGTCGTTATTGGCGAAGTTGACTGTAAGCCTGTCGCGCATAGAAGCCTGGCTTCTATGCAAGCGCGGATCGGGTGGGTCAAGAGTGCATGCGCTATGTACGGTGCATAGTAAAAGAGCCGCCAGACCGGTAGTCAGTGGTAGATCTACGCATGTCGCGCGTAGAAGCCTGGCATACAAGTCTGGCAAAAGTATCAGTGGTGCATATAAGCATGGTTTGCATACAAGCCTGGTTTGCATTAAAGCCTGATGCAGAAAGCGGCTTATGTGCTTATAAGCCCGGCTTTTATCCGCGACTTTACGGTATGTATTATGTATGTAGCGCTGCAGGGCCTTCTTTTTCTTCTATCAACATTTCCCTCACAAATGTGACATGTTCAATGATTGTAATGTTCATTCAATTGATGCTGTTTGGTTCTAAACACGACGGTCGCAATCGCCATCAGGGAAAATACGTTAACAAACGTACCTTCCACACTAGCCGACATCACACGCTGAATAAGGCCACGCATTGTTCCAATAATACCCAGCACCACTGGTGTATAAATAAAACTACACAATGATTGTGTACACAACTAACTTGCGAATGCAACTAAATTTCCGGCTTCTGTGCAGAGAGAAGCCAGCCACCTGTATGCTATGGATAATCAGGCACCGTTCCGAGTCTAGAGCGCGTACGGACAAGGCCTGAGCTCTATTGATCGACAACACCCAGCAGAAAAGGTATGAGGAAGAACTCAATGCAAGTAACAGTTCGGCACCCGATCAACAAAAACTTCGATTCAATCAAGATTTTCTACACATTCAAACATAGTGGGCGTCGTCATCCTTTACATCGACCGGTTCGGAAACACTTGCCGACTTCGGCGCGTTTTGTCTGTTTCTTCGACAGAGCAATCTGTCTGATTCCGAGTTTGCTTATTCTTAATTAACTCGCTAAACTTTCAAGTGACACGTGACTTGTACATATATAAATATAGGCAAAACGGCTATTTTTTGCGGGAAAAGCTTATGGTTGGTTCCACCGCGGCTCAACGGCGCTGCTATATCCTCAGTTGTGGCGAATTCGCGAAATGCATGCCGCAGTATCAGTGACACACCATCAGCGGCTAAACACACGACGGGCCGGTCGACGGCCCCAAGCAGGCCGTGACTAGCCACAGCACCAACACCACCGGGCAACAATCACTACCCGGCAGTCACCAGGCACACCACCGCTGACTGTCGCCATGGTCACCACCACTAACAGCAGCCCGAGCAGCAACTTCAGCAGCTGCTACCGACTCCATCACTGTGACATCAACTCAAGCATGGCCGGGACTGTCCAGTATCACACGAAATATAAACCAGATAGCGTATGACCCCCCCCCCCCCCCCCCCCCTCAACGGAAAACATCACGATCGCCAAGATGTTTCACCTCGTGGAGCTCTAGACACCGTGCCACAAATCGTACTGTCTGTGCTTTCATCTTCATGTACTCCGCTGTTGATAACCGGTCAGCCGCGAGAGGGAAATTGCCAAAGAAGTGCACTGATACAGAGACGGGAGTAAAGACCGTTATCTGCCGGCCAGGTCTATACATCAGATCATACTGGGAATGCTGGCTGGTTGCTCATAATCAAGAGGAGTATAAAAGCCTGGGTATATACATGTACATTGTATTTGTGCTAGGACTTGAAGAACAGCAATGCCATAACAGAATATCAAGTTTAAATACCACGAGGGTGCTGCATGAGCGTGACAAAGCAATTGAAACCAGATGATCAACTGTCAAATCCAGTGCTCAAGACTTCGACTGTGCAGTCTGGATCATGTACCTATCCGTATCAGCAAGAGTACATAATTATGGACTCTTGGTGTCAGCCAATACCAGCATACTGATGAATACTAGCACTCAAAGCCCGTTCAATCATTCGTGGAGCTCTGATAATACTACTCAGCGCAGGGATCAGTCTGGCCGCAGCTTAGTACGGATCACACGTCGCCAGGTCGGTTTGCTCGTAGCGAAGTTGGTCGCCGCTACCATAGCGACTCCGCCGCCACAGGAACTCCACGCCTGCCGGAACTTCGCGATCGGCAGCATTACGATGGTAGATGCAGACCTCTGGACCCCGGCCGACCAGCTGCCTGATATTTTCAGATACGAACTGTTCAGAAACACACATACCGGCACAGGTGTACATTAATTTCAAAGTGCCCCTGTGGCTTATAATCAGAACATGCAATCCCATACAGCAAAGTGCAGGTGTGCTCGGATTGGCGAAATCCTACCCCGAAAAGTGTATATCACTTGGTACCCCAGACCTGCACGCAGCTCTTGACGTCATACATGGAAGTGGAGCAAATGTCGTTTGTCGAACACATGCCAAAAACACAGCAATGTAACGGAAACTTGCAATACGCTTTCCAGCGTTGCACGATGGGTTGGATCTCGCCTAGCACAGCTGAACAGACTGGAATGCGCCCAGGACAGTGTCTGTACTACAGGGCCGGAGGCAGGTTCCGCGGAGTGGTGCGGCTGAAGGGCCATCTTTAATTAAAGGGGAAGTTAAGGCAAAAATTAAAATTTCACCAGTTGTAGTCTTCGGGGTGCTGAGTCGAATGGTCGTGGTCCGAGAAAGCTGAGACGCTCCCTTCCTACTTGAATCCCAATCGAACTCGCGCACTTCCACCGAAACTGGGTGACTGCGCCCTACTAGATGGGGATTTGTATGCAAAATGTCACTAAAAGCGCCATTTCGTTCTTATAAAAGCACGGATGACCGCGATTGGCCCATATGTTGTAGTCTTTTGGACGCTGAGTCGATTGGTCTTGGTCCAAAAGGGCTGCGATGCAGCGTTCCTCCTTTATTCCCAATCGAACATGGTTGAACAAGCGGTCACGTGCTCCTGCGTACGCCAGTCACCTGGTCACCGTGCCTGCAGGGTACAACTTACTAGCCTGTTTGACCTTTTTTGGGTGCAGTCCTGTCACTCGAGTTGAACTCGAGTTGAACCTTGGTGTGAAAGTTGTCGCCTGCTGGCGTGGTGACCAGGTGATTTGGGCACCCAGGACCACGTGACCGCTTCTTCAACCATGTTCGATTGGGAATAAAGGAGGAACGCTGCATCGCAGCCTTTTCGGACCAAAACCAGTCGACTCAGCGTCCAAAAGACTACAACATATGGGCCAATCGCGGTCATCTGTGCTTTTATAAGAATGAAATGGCGCTTTTAGTGACATTTTGCATACAAATCCCCATCTCGTAGGGCGCAGTCACCCAGTTTCGGTGGAAGTGCGCGAGTTCGATTGGGATTCAAGTAGGAAGGGAGTGTCTCAGCTTCCTCGGACCACGACCATTCGACTCAGCACCCCGAAGACTACAACTGGTGAAATTTTAATTTTTGCCTTAACTTCCCCTTTAAGGGGGGTTTGGGGGTGTCCCCCAGAAAATATTTGGAATTTAGACGGCAAATCCTGCACTCTGGGCGACTCCCTGTACAAAATCAGACATCGAAACTTTTTCTCCCCGGTTTTGGACGTTCCATGTGGACCGACTTTTTGGGTAGGTTTTTTTTTTTTTTTTTTTTTTTTGGTACGGCCATGGCCGTACCGGTCGTACCAGTGGCGCCGGCCCTGTACTACACAGGCGTATGCCTTATCAGGAGTGCGCACTAACATACAGGTGTCGGTTACACTGTACAACAAATCACATGATGCGAGCCACGGCTGACCTTGATATCATCCCAGTTGCGCATTCCCATGCGAACCAACGCCGTCGTGTCCACCAGAGCTAGTCTCCGGCCAGTGACAAGGTTATCCACAAAACATGGCTGCAGAGTGGAGTAAATAAAAACGAAGCAAGCACAGCCCATGGTCACCTTGCAATACGCGTAGTGCACAGAATGCTCCTACAGTGTGTGCATGATACTAGCGGTGCAGTGCATACTCCCTCCTCATACAATCTGACCCCCCCCCCCCCTCACCTCCTTCCACACAGGCATTATCAGCTGAATAGCGTTAGCACTTCACCCATGCATTCTTGACTTGCTTCTCACAGTACCGGCAAAGCCAAGAATTATGCTTCTGCTGCCTCTAAACATAGAACAGTGGGTGGTAGCGTTTCACAATGTCCATCAACTTGGCACTGCACTCTCATCGTATAGCCTGAAGAGCCAAAAATAATATGATCAGATAAGAACCCAACCCACCATGACGGAAATAGGATCTGCAGGCAAAATTTAGCTCAGGGCAAATTGACTTTTGCCATTTTCCTGCTACCCCCCCCCCCCCCTCGTACTGACACGACTGCATAATATATAGGCAGCATCGGAGCGATTGAAAAACAAATAGCGTAATATGACTATTGGAATAGAAGGACTCACAGCATACTGGGGAAGTTTCAGCTCAGTCGACATCCATTCACCGACTTCCTCTGCGCTCCAGCTTACAAACGGTGGCTCCACGTACGTGTACGTCTTCTTGCCCTTCAGGCGGGCCATGAAGTCGGCACTGGCTCGCCGCTGTGTGTTGCCGCCGCCGCTACTGTCAATGTCATCGGCTGCTGTCAGTGCAAACTCAATCTCGCCTTCCTCCACCGCTCTCCTTCTTCCTGCCATGTTGGAAAAGAGAGGATTTAAATTTTTATATTTTTGTACAATGCACTCAGACCAAACTGGTCCTTGGGTGTTCTTGAATAGCCAAGGTCAACTGGACTGTTTTAAGGACATTTTCTGGCACCTGTAAATCTCTTCAGAGTGGTGATGCATTCTTACCACACCAGTCTATTATCTGAAAATCAAAGATGATTATAAATAGGGAGTTTCGGCACGGTGTCACAGTCAGGGAAGGTTTTAAGCATCACAGCGTACAAACGCACTACTAGTCCAAAACCTACACTATGGCCAAGTCAAAGCAGCGTTTGAGGTTGAATTACCGAACTTTCAATCTCCCAGGCCCAGCTTCTTCTGCCATCAGCACTCAACAGGAAGTAACAAAATGCCGGTATTCTACTACTCTCTGGCTCTGAATGGACTGTGACGCCACAACGGCGTGTCCGGAAAAGGTATTGGCACGTCGATGGCAAACCAGCCTAAAGCGATGTCATCTAACGATATCGCAACTTCGACACATCAGCCTAAAGTGATGTAATCAAACGTATTGCAATGGCAAACCAGCCTAAAGCGACATCTCCAAGTGGCATTGCAATGGCAAACCTGACTAAGATCAGGAAAAATGGCATCCACTGGAAAGATGCCCAGAGAGCTTGTCCCAAAGTGCATGAGTGTGGATGCAAAGAAGAGGAGGTCTCCGTTTACATCTGGATAGTCGGATCCATAATATGTCTTAGGGCACCTCAACTCGAACTTTCCAGGTTAGGTCTCCTCAGCAGAGCTCAGAGTTACTGGACAAACCAACCGCAATGCCGTCTTGTAGTGAACAACCGAGCATGTTTATACCGGCTCAAAGCATCAAAGTCAGAGTGCTCTAACTGCCATAAACACAGCCTATTCGGCACGAGGGCAGGTAGCTTTGACACTAACCAGAACTAAGAGTGCACAGCCAAGCCAGGGAGAGAGAGGGTGATACCCAGGTAAAATTTCATGCTCAGTAAAACTTGTGACTAACGACCACTCCTTGGGCCCAGAGAAAGCGGTTTTTAGTGGCAGGTGGTCCTTAGTCACAGGTTTGCGCCGCACAGCTGTATATGAATGTGAGACCGTCCGTGCCTGGCAAAGTGGTCTGTAGTAGCAGGCTGGTCGCTAGTCACGGTGGTCTTTAGATACAGGTTTTACTGTAGTAGCAGGCTGGTCGCTAGTCACGGTGGTCTTTAGTTACAGGTTTTACTGTAGTAGCAGGCTGGTCGCTAGTCACGGTGGTCTTTAGTTACAGGTTTTACTGTAGTAGCAGGCTGGTCGCTAGTCACGGTGGTCTTTAGTTACAGGTTTTACTGTAGTAGCAGGCTGGTCGCTAGTCACGGTGGTCTTTAGTTACAGGTTTTACTGTAGTAGCAGGCTGGTCGCTAGTCACGGTGGTCTTTAGTTACAGGTTTTACTGTAGTAGCAGGCTGGTCGCTAGTCACGGTGGTCTTTAGTTACAGGTTTTACTGTAGTAGCAGGCTGGTCGCTAGTCACGGTGGTCTTTAGTTACAGGTTTTACTGTAGTAGCAGGCTGGTCGCTAGTCACGGTGGTCTTTAGTTACAGGTTTTACTGTAGTAGCAGGCTGGTCGCTAGTCACGGTGGTCTTTAGATACAGGTTTTACTGTAGTAGCAGGCTGGTCGCTAGTCACGGTGGTCTTTAGTTACAGGTTTTACTGTAGTAGCAGGCTGGTCGCTAGTCACGGTGGTCTTTAGTTACAGGTTTTACTGTAGTAGCAGGCTGGTCGCTAGTCACGGTGGTCTTTAGTTACAGGTTTTACTGTAGTAGCAGGCTGGTCGCTAGTCACGGTGGTCTTTAGTTACAGGTTTTACTGTAGTAGCAGGCTGGTCGCTAGTCACGGTGGTCTTTAGTTACAGGTTTTACTGTAGTAGCAGGCTGGTCGCTAGTCACGGTGGTCTGTAGTAGCAGGTGTTACTATACATGTATGTGTACTGAGCCAGGGAGTCGTTGTACACCTAGGGAGACGACACGAACAGCTGGACTGTGCAGTGACGTGGGCATCGCTCCTGGGCTGCCTGTTCCAGTTGCCATTGAGTCACTCAGGGCCGGTCTATACACGCTCGCGCATGACCTCGCTTGCCTGACTGCGCTCAGTTGAGGTAATATTGTATTACTTCACCAAAATGTACAGGTGTGTTATGCCTTCTCACCGGGTTACAGTCAGGCCTCGCTTAACCACACACATCCGTTTTCCAGAAAAATATCCGGATAGGCGAGGGAACCGGATAATCGAACACACATACTGTATGTATCCATGACATGTGCTGCAAATTGGTAACCAGCGATTTTCTTCCAGATGCCGAGGGATCCGGATAAACGAGGACCGGATAAACGAGGACCGGATAAACGAGGACCGGATAAACGAGGACCGGATAAACGAGGTCTGACTGTAGTAGGTCAAGATGCGAGTTTCACTGGCCACCGATCATGTAGAACTTCCAAATCAGGGGTCGAAACGCCGTATCGTTCCAGGTACATGTGCTATGATCCCATGTTCTCGCTATATGCTACGAGTCGTCCCTGCTGTGAACCAGCATGACTTATCCATGGGTGCTCGCAAACTAAATAACTTTTCTTGTTTTCAAAATGCAGTACCGGTAACTTAAGTACAAAGGTGACCCTGGAGAGTCATGTGGCGCCGGTTTGTGAATGAATAATTATTTACTGGCAAACGTAGCGTGATTATTGTGTAAAATACAGCACAAATTATTGACATGAGTTGACAGACTAGACAGGCATGATGAGTTCAGTGTCCTTACCGGCACCGTACACTTGCTCGTGGTGGCATGCATAGCATCTTCTCGCTCGGTCCTGCTCGCTAGTACTACTAGTAGTAGTAGTACCGGCCTTGCTGCTGGCCTCGCTACCGTCTACGGCACCCATGGTGCGCATCTGCTGTCGCGGATCAGCACCGCCTGGAAACGCTGCCTCTTCCATTCCCTCTGACTCGGAGTCTCATCCAGGGGTTTGCTGAGATTGAGATTAATTATTTTCACGATCAGTGGCAGCGAAAACACACTTTGAAAGAACCCTGGTGCGATCGCCTCTAAGCATAGTTTGTGGAAACTATGGTCACCTGTAGACCTGCCTCTAAGCAAGCGCTGTGTTAGTGACTGTTACGGAGCGAGGCTGGCTAGTAGATGCAGAGACAGGTGCAGGGCCAGCCGCAGGGGCAGTCACCGCAGAGTTTGCAAACTATTAGAGAAGTAACAACAACTGAGTGGCCGACGTGGACGTCGATTACTTGTAAGGGCCAAGGCCAGGCATGCAGTAGCTGAGTTAGTGAGTAGGTCGATGACTCGGTAGTTGTGTCTCTCATTCGTTCTACTTCTACTTCTAGGGTCCAACTGCAGTCATCTGGTCATGATCCACTGGAGACTAGTCATTGACCATGTTTAGTTGACACCGTCTTGTTAGCAGGACTGGTATGGTGTAGATTCTACCATGGTGTAGGTCTACCGGTAGGTCCATCGCATCGGCATCGATCGCTCGACTCGATCGATCTATCATGATCTATCGTCGAGCACAGTGCTACAGGTGACCATGGTGACAGGACTCGAGTCTCGAGTGCATGCATGCAGGCTGCAGCGCGCGTCAAGCACGCACAGACAAAGCCAGTTCGTCGTCATAGTGACTGCATCTTTTTGGCATCACGCCATCACGGCATCAGCGACCATCGACAAAAAATCAAGGATGCCGTAGACTAGATTTATGACTATGGCGATTACCGGTATACAAAGTCATGTAGATGACTTGTAATACTAGTAATCAGGTAATAGACTTTAGTAATACTAATAGATCTACCACATACATCTCGCACGAGCCAGTCTCCGTTCTAAATCTAAGCCAATAAGGCAAGGCCACATCTTTCGGGTCACTTCACTCATCCGTACCACTACCAGGCCTGCAGCCTGCATGCAGGGTCGGTCGGTCGGGATTTATTTTTATTTTGGTTAGTGCCATGTACCAGATGTACTGTCTGTATATGACTGATTGTGCATATCGAATAGCTTTTGTCCATCAAGCCAGTCGATCAAATCTGACTGTATGTAGTCGTGTAGACGATCCAGCGCAGTCATCATGGTCATTGTCCCATCAGATCCAGGTCCCCTCCACTCCAGGACCAGATCTTGGCCTCCCTGGCAAACGAGTCTGAGGAGCAGCTCCCACCTTGAAAACGTCTGTCAAAGAGCGACGCGATGGCGGAACTGATGCTGTTTCAGGACCGATTGCGGATCTGGTTACTCAGTTGTAGTAGTAGTAGTAGTAGTAGTAGTTGTACATGTAGTATTAAATTTTACTTGGGCAATCCCCACAGACTGTGCGTCTTTTTTAGGGCTGAAACGATCGTGGATTTTCAAGTATCGATTACTCTTTAGCTTAACGATCGAGTAATCGATTATAATCGTTTGCAAATAGAGTCATAATTCTGTGCAAACATTACTGTTTCCACAAACTATGCCTTCATAATACCAACAAATCTGCATTAGTGAAAGGGTAGCTCCGAAACATGGCAGTTTTGAAGTCAATTTAACCTCAGCCACATGAACCATACCCCTGGCAACTGCATACTCCCTGCGGAAACTGATTCAAACTTCACAAAACGAGGGTTTACAGTACTTTCTTGACACAAATTTAAAAAACGAAAAATAATCGTAATCGGTAATCTAAACGATTGCTCGATCGTTAGAGTTATCAGAGTACCGTATTATCTCTAATACAGTCGTCCCTCTCTAATTAGGCCTTGGCGGATAATGCCGGCAGAAAAATTGGCAGAATTCGGTACTTTTCCTGGTAAGTTTCATGCATGTTTGGAATGTGGATAAAGAAATGGAGCAGAATTCGAGGAATTGCCCGCCATAAGGTTTGTATGGTTCTGCCAATTTCACTGCTTTTCGAGCAGAATCTGCCACCTTTTCGAGCATTATCCGCCAAGGCCTATCTCTAATCCGGCACTTGTTTATCCAGCACCCTTGCAAACCAGCACACTTTCTGGCAAAACGGATTTTTCAGTTAATTTTCTACGCTTTTATCCGGCACTTGAATTCCGCCTCCAGCAGCGATTTCCTGGAACAAATCACTCAAACGGTACATAATTCGATTTTCTAATCCAGCAGTTGTACATCGCACACTGTCAGGGAGCATTGTAACATACACAATACAAGTACATGTAACATACACTTGGGAATATCCTATACCAGTGGCAGTGCAAGGGATATTACCAAGTGTATGTTAAGGGAAAAGGGAAGCTTTGCGAAAACGAATTGTACAAGCCGAAGTTGGAAGGCTGTCGGTTAGCGCTACGGAGATGTGTTAAAGTTAGGTGTCAGGACGTCGAATGTCTCAGTACTCTGTCAGTTTTGTGCCTAGTTATTGCACTTTCTGACTGTATATAGTATCATGTTACAGTGATGGAGAGTTACTCTAAACTCGTATCCATATGTCCTTTTCTCTTTTACATTTATTTATGGCTCAACATCCGAGTTTCAAATTGCACACCTGATGAGCCGTCACGAACCATACGGCGAAACGTACGTCGTGTGAAACAACTTGTTTTGTAGTCAACTAGTCCATCACAATGTCATGCATGAGGAGTACTGTAGGAGTTTGGCTTTCGGCTTGTACAATTCGTTTTCGCAAAGCTTCCCTTTCTTTACTTATCTTTGATATTTATGACCCACCCAAGTTGGGTGGTGTGCTGCTTTGCTGCTTCGAATTGTAGTTAGACCGCTTTGTCAAATATCGTACTGGTCTCGTCATCGTCCAGTAACAATCGACATTCTTTGTTCCGTTGGGACTGTAGCTTTTGCTCGTTTTCGTTGCGCTTGCCTTCCCCTCTTTGGTCTTTCCATAACCTTGAACCTTCCAAGTTGGAAGGCTGTCGGTTAGCGCTACGGAGATGTGTTAAAGTTAGGTGTCAGGACGTCGAATGTCTCAGTACTCTGTCAGTTTTGTGCCTAGTTATTGCACTTTCTGACTGTATATAGTATCATGTTACAGTGATGGAGAGTTACTCTAAACTCGTATCCATATGTCCTTTTCTCTTTTACATTTATTTATGGCTCAACATCCGAGTTTCAAATTATTAATATTATTATTATTTTATTTATTTTACTAGGGAGTAGGGTGTTTCCCACAGACCTATGGTCTTCTTACGGGAGCCCCTAGAAAGGTTAAGCATGAACGAACACATGGGCGATAATCTGTACAAGAGCGAACAGTGGAAGGCAGCATATTCCACCGATCAGAACCTACATGTACATGTACAATGTATGTAGCCAAGACGAGAAAAACCAGCTTTAGTGTGGGCAGAAGGCAAGGCCAGAGAAAAAGAGATTTGGGACCTAGTGACGGCAGTACCGTACTGGCAATATATGTTGCCGCGTAACGCAGGGGGGTGCGGCGTAACGCGCGACCAGGCTAGTGCGACAAATTTTCGTTGAGTTCGTAACGCGCGACCGGCGGGGTGCGGCGATCTTTTCATTGCAGTTTGCACTGCAAAAAAAGGCTGAAAACTGTGAAAGCACGTGTACCGCGTGGTGAAAAGTAGTTTTTTGAGGAAGCGCTCTTCCCCTATGTCACTTTCCTTTTGATGATCTTTTTGTGAACAGATCACTCTGATAGTTAAAATAATTATACAGTCTTCTATTGATATCGTTGTCGCCCTTTGCCGTCGGGTTTGTAACAGTTGGTTAGCAACTGAATTTCTGTGCCTTCAATGTGGATGAAAAGAAAAAATGATGCGGCAAAAGCAAAAAAATGATGCGGCAATAGCAAAAAAGTGATGCGGCAATAGCAAAAAAAGGACTGCGGCAATATAGAAACCTGTGTAACGGCTCCTGTGCGACTTTGCATGTAACGCCCTGCGTGCGGCAAACATGTGCCAATGTAACGCTTCATGGCCTCACTGCGACCATATATATTGCCAGTACGGTAGTATGTGCACTGGAGGAGCGAGTATGGAAAATTTCTTTTAGGAGAGAGCTACAGTACATGTGCCGCTATGGACAGAGCGAAATACAAGAATAAAAAGCTTCAAATTGACTCGGACGGAAATGTGAGAGAGATTGCATAGGCTAAGAATACAATCTCTCTCACATTTCCGTCCGAGTAATGG